GTGTATTAAAGGGTTTCTTACCGGCAAGACTGTGGCTACTCCGGGGAGTAGAAGGTCTAGCCAGCAGGAGATGCAAACAGATCGTCCAATTCCGAGAGCAGGAGCTGCGGTGAGTTTGCAGGGAGGAAGGGGCACAGAGCGTGGGTGGCAGGCTGAGCTGTGAATAGTTTTCCGTATTTGGCTCCCTTTCGCTTATACCTAGATTAATGATAGAAGAGGATTTCCACCAGGGGTTGGGGGTGGGTGTTTTTGGCTGTGGGTAAGGGCACCCAGTGAAGGGGAGGGGTAGTTATGCTGGAGGGAAGTGCCTGCTGGTGGATGCCCCACCCTGACAGGTGCTGAATTCCAGGAGGACACTTGAGGCTGGAAATGCACTCTGAGGCCAGGGAATTCATCAGCAGGGAGGCTGGTGAGAGAAAGCCAAGGTGTACCATGGAATTGGGGCTGGGTATTCACGTGATATTTTGGTTGTATCAATGCTTCACTTGCATGGACGTAGCTGCAAGTCAGAAACGAAATAGAATTTTGTTTGTTTGTTTTGAGACAGGGTCTTGCTCTGTTGCCCAAGGCTAGGAGTGAAAAGTGGGCCATCATCATAGTTCAGCAGCAGGCCTCCAAAACTCCGGGGCTCCAGTGAATCCGTCCGTGCGCCCAAGCCTCCCGAGAGCTGGGAACACTACAGGTGGCAGTGCCAGCCACCCAGCCTAATTTTTACACTTTTTTGTAGAGAAAGGGTCCCACTGTTGCCAGGCTTGTTTCGAAACCCCCTGGGGCTCAGTGATCCTCCCCCCGTCTTGGCCTTCCAAAAATGGCCGGGATTACAGGCCCGTGAGCCCGCCGTGCGCTGACAAAAAAGGAAATTTTTTGATGTAGCAAAAAAGGCCATTTCAGAGCTTGGGTATTTAGCCTAGATGACGCTCTGCCCCTCTCAGCTCCACTCTGTCCATTCTTCTGTACCATGTAGATCCAAGAATGTGGTTGCCTGGTTTCCAGCCAAACATCCAAAACCGGCCACATAGAAGCCGAGACGGAAGTTACGGCAAAAACAACCCCTAAGAGGCCAACAGGTGGGCACGTGTGTTGGCTGGATGTGAACGTAAGAAATCGACACCATACAGCGCACTGCTCCTGCCACCCAGCCCTCCTGGGAACCTCCAAATCTCCCTACCGTCATCGCTCTTGTCTTATGGTCATTCGTATTTTCGAATGTCAGCGCATGAACGATGTATGTGTATAACTTGAAATAACTGAGGTAAGTTAGGGATATTTCGCCTCATACTCTGTCGATATAAGAAATCCAGAAAACATTACAGTCTAGGGGCCCATTTCATGTAGGGAGGCATTGTCTTACGTGGTTAATAAGGCTGTGGACATCGGTATCGCCAGCAATATGGCAGGTGCCAATTGGATACCGATGGCGTCTCGTGAAGGCAGAAAGGGAGTTCAGCTGAATGTTGTAAGAACAGTTAATAATATCAGGCTTATTTGATTTAAAAAGTGTGGGATACATTCTTAAAGCTTTAATCCAAAATGGAGTTAAAGTCTCTGGGCTATATAAGATTGAGGCTGTTAACATCTGGAAAATCAGCTTGTTCCGCAGAATGACTGATTCATTCTTCCAGGATTCCAAGGAGGGTGGGCACTCCCTGCTGACAACAGACAATGGCCTGTGGTGCTTCTTCAACAGCCAAAACATGCATGTTCTGGTGTCTTCAGATTCATTTCTTCTTCCCCGGTCCTGTGTCAGCTGAGCAGGGCTCACCTGGGTCTGTGTTCCTACAGCCAAACATTGCATGTTCGCGTGTCTTGCGATTCACACTTCCCAGGTCCTCGTGGCAAAGCTGAAGCAGAGGCTCACCTGGGGGGCGGCAGGGCCTCCCTCTTCATCGGGGTCGTCACCCCCCCCTGCCTTCACCTGGGGGCCATGCCTCGCTGTACCTGGGCTAATGTGCTTCCCTGTTACCTGGGCTGACAGGACACCCCTGCTCGTCTGGGCTGGCCATGCCTCCCCTGCCTCTTCTTTCGTGGACCCAGTGGGTCCTGGCCCGTGAGTAGGCTGAAACCAAAAGAAGAATAAAAGCCCTCCTTTCTCCCTTTTGACCTTATGTTGTAATGCAAATGACATACTTGTCAGCTCATCTCGACAGCCACCTCAACCATAACACCCAGAAAACAGGGCCGTTTAGAATTAACAAACAGCCTCGATGAGGGGTGGTGGCTGGATGAAACAGAAGGAAGTTCAGGATAAGAACAAGGGCCACAACATAAAAAAAAAAAAAAAAAAAGATAACAAAAACAAACCAGAGCACACATCGTGCCTCCCTAGTGCAAGGAGAAGACTCAAGCTCAAAGTTGATGGAAAATTTTAGGACGGAAGAAGACAATGGGTCAGAAATTAGGCAACAAAAGTGACCTTATCCTATCCTGAGTCCTTCGTGTCACTGGGAGTGTGCAGGACAGAGGAGGGAGGGGCAGCGCCTCGCTGATCCGATCCCTTTATTACCTTAGTTACTCGCTTTTACGCCAATTCTTAGCATTGGCCAGCTGCACAGACGACTGGCCGCCCAGGCTCTTGCCGGAGCCAAAGACACAGAGAACCCAGGGGGTTCTGAGACCTACCGGACGGTGTGTCTCAGAGCTGCTGTGGGACCCTCTGTGCGCTGCCTGGAAGGAGACGCCTGGGGCAGCAAAAGTACTGGGGTTCTCCTGGAGCCCCCAGGCGCCCACCTCGGGGCAGCGAAACCCCATGGGAAATGGGCTGGGGAGCCGCTGGGAGTGCTGGACACTTTTCATGTCGCTGTGTGGCCTCCCCAACACCCCCAGCCCCTCAGCGCTGAAAGCTTCTCAGGCTCCTCTGACGCCCCAAGGCCCCTCCCCCTCCCTCCCTCCCTCTCTGCGCAGCCGTCCCCTCCCCAGTGGCCCCGGGCTCATCCCAGCCTCCCTCCCTCCTCCGTCACATCCTGAACCTGCAGCCTGCGCCCATCTGCAGCCCCCTGCCCCACTCTTTCTGTGTTTCCCCGATTCAGATGACTCAGTTTGTGTTTTCTGGTTCGTTTGATGTCAAGGGCTCTTACTGTCCTCAGCAGAGGTGGGGTCTCCTGATCTCTCAGGCAGCCCTTTCTGCAGGGTGGGGGCTCAGCAGACAGGGTGTGGCAAACTTAGCAAGGGCTTGAGAGTGGGTCTTTTTAATTTTATTTTTCAGCAGGGGTGGGGGCAAGTGAAGTTTAATTTCCTTTTTTTTTTGAGACAGAGTCTCACTCTGTTGCCCTGGGTAGACAGCAGTGCCGTCAGCCTGGCTCACAGCAACTTCAAACTCCTGGGCTCAAGTGATCCTCCTGCCTCAGCCTCCCGAGTAGCTGGGACTACAAGTGTGCAGCACCACGTCCAGCTAATTTTTCTATTTTTGGTAGAGACAGGGTCTCGCTCTAGCTCAGGCTGGTCTCAAACTCCTGAGCTCAAGCCATCTTCCTGCCTTGGCCTCCCAGAGTGCTAGGATTACAGGCGTGAGCCACCATGCCCAGCCTAGTGTGGGTCTCTAAGGCAGCAAGATTGCTTGAGGTGAGCTTGAGGCCAGGAGTTTGAGACCCTGTCTCTACAAAAAAATTTAAAACATTTAATTTCTGCAAACGTGGGAAGGAGTTTCCATGAGCTGGAGATTAAGAGTCATTTTTACCTCCTGTTCCCTCATTAGCGGGGTGCCAATGTTAAGTCACTTCCTTTCTGCATAAAATGAGGGATCAGAACGGATAATAATGCCATCTGGCACACACCAGGCTCTGCTACGGTCCACTGCGCATACATTTATTGCCGAATCCCCAGGAGGGAGGTACTATCATTAACTCCTTTTAAAGACAGGAAAACTGAGGCACAGAGCAGTTGAGTAACTTGCCCAAGGTCGCACAGCGAGTGAGTGGCGCAGTTGGGATCTGAGCCCTGTCAGTCTGGCTCCTAACCATGCTTTGCTTTCTTTAAGATTCTTTCAGCTCTTGAGCTTTAGGGATCTGTTTCCTGCAAGATCTTTGCAGCAGCAGATGTTCCCTAATTAAATGACAATAGGGAGCCCTTTGAAATGTAAGGAGATCCCACAGTGAAGGTGTGCTGCCACCTGCCATCCCCAGGACAGGTGGGACAGGCGAGCAGCAGGTTAAACGAGGGCAGGAGGGGCTTTGCTCTGTGTCTAGAAACCTCATGGGACCCGGCCTGCCCCTTGCCTCTCCGAAGGGCCTGGGACTGCCGCCTGTCAGCGGTTTCTCCCTCAGCTAACTTTAAGGAGTATTTAGCCAAGTGGATGCACAAGGATTAGGCAATCCACGGAGCCACCTCTGGTGATCAGTTGGGTGTGTCCCGGGGCTCCGTAGCTGTCAGAACAAATCCACGGGGGACCAAGGACACCCCTGCCAGCTCAGATGGTCCAAAGGCACAGATTGGGACGTGGCCCATGAGCTGGGCTGCAGGAACAAGTACTGGCTTAAGGCAAGGACGGGCACCTCTATGGCTCTAATCAGGACCCTCCGCCTCATGCCCGAACTTGGGGACAGTCCCTTCCCCCAGGTGCCTGGCTGGGGACAGCTGTTAAGTCTGCAGCAGTGGCTTGTGGCCATCACTGAGACAGACAGGAGGATCCCCGTGAAACCGGGCAGGGTTCGCAGACACCGGCCGTTCCGGATCTCCAGTGCCAGCAGAAAGGGCACAGGAAGTGCCGCTGTGCAGGTGCAGGGAAAGCCTGCAAGCTGCCTCTGCCTGCCTCGGGCCTTTTTCCCCTCCTGTGCTCGCCTGTCCACAATGGCTGTACTGTGTGGCCTTCAGGTGACTTTTCCTAAGTTAATCGGACCCATGGACTACCTGGACGTGGTAATGACTCGGGGCAGAGCAGCCACGTGCTCGGGCCATCGGGCCGACGAACCAAGCCAGAAGGGCTGTTGTGGGGAGGGTGTTATTGTTTCAGTGGGCGCAGCAAAGGGTGGATCAGCTGGCTGGACGAGGCAAATTGTTATTTACAGTTCCTGAGCCTTTAAAAGAAGAGCTTCCCCAGAGTCGGTGCTGATCGCAGTCCTGCACGCCATGAGGGCCCTGGTGCCTCTTCTGTCCCTGTTCCTCCTGGGCACCCAGGCCCAGCATGGGACCGAGTGGACCTACTCAGGTAAGCCCCCCAGCCCTGCACGGCTCCTCGGTTCCTCCGTTACCCCCGCAACAAGGAAGGCAGCGGCCCCCTCCTTGAGGGGAGCCTGCACTTCCTGGGGTGGCCGCTGTGTCTGTCTCTGCTGGTTATGGTCCCTACCTTTCCAAGGTCTCCGAATGTACAGAGAACAAACTGAACTTGAACTTCAATTAAGGAAAAGAGGAAATAACTTTCTCCTTTCACGACCCATTGGTTCACCTGTAGGCTTTCTGCTTTGAAATCTTTTCCACCCTCTGTGTTGGCTGGTGTGAGCCCCGTTGCTGCTTTTTTATTTATTATTATTATTGAGACAGAGTCGCACTCTGTTGCCTGGGCTAGAGTGCCGTGGCGTCAGCCTTGCTCACAGCAACCTCAAACTCCTGCCTCAGCCTCCAAAGTAGCTGGGACTACAGGCATGTGCCACCATGCCCAGCTAATTTTTTTTCTATATATATGTTTTTTAGTTGTCCAGCTAATTTCTTTCAATTTTTTTTTTTTTTTTTAAGTAAAGGCAGGGTCTTGCTCTTGCTCAGGCTGGTCTTGAACCCCTGAGCTCAAATGATCCTCCCGCCTCCGCCTCCCAGAGTGCTAGGATTACAGGCGTGAGCCACCGCACCTGGCCTATTCATTATTTTTTGAGACCAGGTCTCCCTCTGTTGCCCAGGCAGAGTTCAGTGACCCTATCATAGCTCACTGCAGCCTTGAACTCCTGGGCTTACGTGATCCTCCCGCCTCAGCCTCCCGTGTAGCTAAGAGTATAGTATAGGCACCAGGTCCCGTGAACAGCTAATTGTTAAATGTTCTGTGGAGATGGGGTTTCACTATTGCCCAGGCTGGTCTCGAACTCCTGGCCTCAAGTTGTCTTCTCTCCTTGGCCTCCCAAAGTGCTGGGATTACAGGTGGGAGCCACCACGCCCCACCTGCCTGCATCAGCCGCTGCTTCCGATAATAAAACCTTTTGCTTTATTGTTAGTGGAGAATAAATTTCCTCGAAAGGACTCCTGGTAGCCTCACAGAAGGTGCTGTGGGGTTTGGGGGAACTTCCTTCCAGGAAATTTCATGAACATTTTGATAAGACCCGAGTTACCTTTAGACCGTCTCCAGGCTCCCCAAACCAGGCTTTTAACCTGTGAGATGTAAGATCCTGGCATTTAGCAAGAGTTCCAGCCCGCACGTGAGCTGAAGCTGGGAAGACCGCATCTGTGGGGTTTGGGACACTGAACACCCTTTCCTGTGCCTGGGAGGGAGCTCCCGCCCGAGGGCCCTTCTCTTCTGCACTGGGCGATGGTGCGGGGCCCCCAGAGGAGGCTGGTGGCTGCTGGCAAGTGGCAGGAAGCCGGAGCAGACCATGTTGAGCCTGCTCTCTGCAAAATCTGCCCCTGCCTCGGACACCAGGGAAGCACACATTCGGGGTGGGTGGCATGTCCCGTTAAGTCAAAGGCCATTGTATTAGGGACACCCCGGGGAGGCGCAGGAAGTCCAGCTTCAGAGGGGCTCACTCTAACCGACCACTCTGTCTGTCCTGGAGCAGAGGCGGTCCCCACACCTGCTTCGTCTGGCTCAGCGGGACTGGGTGCGGTTGCAAAGTTACAGAAGAGAGAATTCAGACAATGAAGGTCTTGTCCTCCCGGGGCTCAGCCAGCCTGGAGAAAGCGGGCTTCCTGGAAAGCCACTGGGAGCCCCGGAGAACCTGGGGGCAGCTTTTGCAAACGCCTTCCAGGAACACCTGAGGGATGTCCCCGTGTTGACAGGGCCTGGGCCAGAGCATTCGGACCCAAGAAGGGGCTGCGCTGGAGGCCTCCTGCCTGGTCCCTTGGTCTTGGCTTCTGCCTCTAACAAAGAATTGCTTAAAAATGGGTTTGTGCAGGGCACGGTGGCTCACGCCTGTAATCCTAGCACTCTGGGAGGCCAAGGCGGGTGGATCGCTCAAGGTCAGGAGTTCAAAACCAGCCTGAGCAAGAGTGAGACCCCGTCTCTACTAAAAAAAATAGAAAGAAATTAATTGGCTAGCCAACTAAAATTATATAGAAAAAATTAGCCGGGCATGGTGGCGCATGCCTGTAGTCCCAGTTACTTGGGAGGCTGAGGCAGAAGGATCACTTGAGCCCAGGAGTCTGAGGTTGCTGTGAGCTAGGCTGACGCCACGGCACTCACTCTAGCTCAGGCAACAAAGTGAGCCTCTGTCTCAAAAAAATAAAAATGACTTTGAATCATTAAATAGTGAAGAAGAGAGAAATAAAGAATTGGCTTTCCCATCGATTGCAAACCCAGAAGCTGTGGGAGGCCCCATCCGGACACCTTTGCTAAAACAAGCTACGCACGAACCACAGAGTTCCCTCGAAGGGCGAGGTTGGGTCCTCAATTGCAAATGGCCAAAAGCAAGATCCGAAGCCATTTGGGAGCCGAGTCACCTGTAATGACCCATGGCCTTCATTCCTGTGTGCCCTGTGCTTATCAATCATCTCTGAAAAGATAAATTTCCTTCCTCTGATTTAAAAAAAAAAAATGAACCATTCGGATCCTCCCTGAACCTCATGCTGCCCCGGTTGCCCCAGAATCTGCAGGTGGAGACACCAGGCGGTCCTCGCCGTGCCGGGGCCCATAACCGAGGCTGGAGCAAGAAAGTGGGGAGGGGGTTCCTGCAGCACAGGGGTGAGGGGGCTGGAAGGAAAACTGGGCTATTTAGAGGAAATGAGGAAAAGGCCCCTTGGTGGCGGCCGAGGACCCCAGTATTGCATGATCAGTTGGAAATAGTGCAAGAGAGAGGAAAAAATTACATACGCCAGACTTTCATTGTGTTCCAAACACTAAGTCATGTTCCCAGGGCCAGTGGTTGCCATGGGGAAGTTAGAGGTTGGCACCCAAGCGCCCAGTCGTCAGGGTCCTTGGAGTTCATTAGATGTCCCTTCCGCCTCCTCCCGGAGGCCCTGCTTCTGCTCTCTGGAAGGCACCGTGGGGCCCCTGGGCCCTGGCCTCTGGCCTGGCGAGGTGCCTGCAGAGGGCCCGGCTGGGGAGGGGGCCCTGGAACCGTGACCTGCTCTCTCCTGTCACAGATGGGGCGCTGGATGAAGCACACTGGCCGCGGCAGTACCCTGACTGCGGGGGGCAGAAACAGTCCCCCATCAACCTGCAGAGGAAGAACGTTCGGTACAACCCTTCCTTGGGGGCGCTCAACCTGACAGGCTACGGCGCCCAGGTGGGCAAGTTCTCCATGACCAACAACGGCCACACAGGTAAGGGCGGGCCGGCGGCGGCGCCAGCCCTGGTGGTCCGCAGGGGAAGGCAGGTGACAGGCACATCTGCCGGGAGTGACCCCCACAGAGCCACAGAGCTCAGCATCGGGCACTGAGGCCCTGAGGCCTGGAATCCTGGTGACTCTTCCAAAGCCAGACAGCCTCTGTCCGGAGACTCCGTCCCCTCCGGCTCCTTCCCGGCAGGTCATTCTCTCACCCACGCCCACCGCGACCCGCCCAGCAAGCGCCAGGCAGGACGGGCATGGTGCTTGGGCCACCTTCTCACCTTCTCACCTGTGTCTTCTGTTCTTCTGTGCCCTGGGCTGGTTTCCCATATGATCCGCATAGATATTCATATATATTCATTCCATATATGGTCATATATATTTATATTCCATGTATATTCCATACATATTGAGTCTCATTAGCTCAAAGCCCCTGGCAGGTAGGCCCAGTATTTCTCGGAGGTTTTGAAACAAAGCTCTACTTTTGTTCCCTACCAGAAAGGGGGTGAAGGTCAGACAGGAAAAGCTGGGTTGCGGGACCCCTACTTCGGGAATCCATTCAGGGCAACTGTAAAACCCACGCTTTACGTTTGTAGATCATCTTCCTGGTGTCCCAAGCGGGCTCGTCTGCTCTGAGCCTCAGGGCACTCCAAGAAGGGGGGACGTTTTAAGTGGGAAACCTGAGGTCTCAGGGGGCCGAGGGACTCACTCAAGGTCATGCAGTCTCTAACGGCCACTCTGGACCCAGGCCCCCAGATGTCCATTCCTTGGCCATGTCCTCCTTGGATACCTCGAGCTCTCACTCCATCACTCCCACTGGGTCACGTGAGCTTACTGCCTACCGCACAGGTGTATGGAGGTCACCGGACTTGGTTTTCCTATTTGCACAGTCAAGAAAATAAATCCAATCGCCCTTTATGGGGCTGGTGAAAGTAGCAAGTGGGAGAAGTCATGTCTATAATAGGGCTTGGGCATTTGTGGCCAGGAGCCCAGAAACGCACAAATATTTATCCATTTATTGTTAGAGACAGGGTCTCACTCTATTGCCCAGGCTGGAGTGCAGTAGCCTGGATCCTAGCTCACGCAGCCTTGAACTTTTGGGCTCCAGTGATCCTCCTGCCTCAGCCTCCTGGGACCTACAGGTTCTCACCACTATGCCCAGCTCATTTTTCTTTCTTTCTTTCTTTCTTTTTTTTTTTATCAATGTGGTCTCACTATGTTGCCCAGGCTGGTCTCAAACTCCTAGCCTCAAGCGATCCTCTTGCCTTGGCCTCCCAAAGTGCTGGGATTACAGGTGTGAGCCACTGTGCCCAGCTTTACACAAATATTTCATGAAAGCCTCATTCTTATCATTAATGTTGAGCTCCTGTTTCCAAAGTTTACTCTCGGAAGCTCCCAGCAGGTTGGCAAGTGGTGGAGCTCTTCCTCCCGTTCTTGCCCTTGGTGGAAGGGATGCGGCAAAAAGGCCAAAGGCAGAGGAGAAGCTTTGTTAACCCCACCTGGACAGTCGCCCAGGAGTGACGATTGAGACTCTCTATTGGGACCACCTGCTGAGCACCTGCTGCTGTGCAGGGCTCTGTGCTGGGGGCCCAGAAAGGGCGGGCGTAAAGCAAGAGCCCAGCTTCCCAGGAGCTGGCCATGGCTCCCTCCTCGCAGACTGTACAGGACCCAGTGCCTTCCTCCTCCGGGCTGTGTTTGGATCTCTGTAGGCCGAAAGCCCGTTCCTTGGGAGGGTCCCCACGTCATGCCACAGCATGTCAAACATATTAGAATGCACCCACAGTTCACATTAATTATATTTTCTGTTGTCAAATACTTTGAAAGATTTTTACAATTTAGCTTTTGCAATTATTTGGCTATACTCTTTACAGTGGGCTATATTTTGGCAAGCTCGAAGCACACTGGGAATTCTACTGAAGGAGAAAAAAAAACTAATCTACAAATTTCAAACTAATGAAATTTTGATGCATACCAAATTTAACAAAAAAAAGTTGTCATGATCTGTTAATTTTTTATTTTCTATGTTTCTTTTTACATCTTGGAAGATATATATGTTATTGTTCTATATTATCATATATTTTATTTTATTTTATTATTATTTTTTTTGAGACAGAGTCTCACTTTGTTGCCCAGGCTAGAGTGAGTGCTGTGGCGTCAGCCTAGCTCACAGCAACCTCAAACTCCTGGGCTCAAGCGATCCTGCTGCCTCAGCCTCCCGAGTAGCTGGGACTACAGGCATGTGCCACCATGCCCGGCTAATTTTTTCTCTATATATATTAGTTGGCCAATTAATTTCTTTCTATTTATAGTAGAGATGGAGTCTCGATCTTGCTCAGGCTGGTTTTGAACTCCTGACCTCGAGCAATCCGCCCGCCTCGGCCTCCCAGAAGTGCTAGGATTATAGGCATCAGCCACTGCGCCCAGCCTTTTTTTTTTTTTTTTTTAAACAACTTTATTTTAAAGTGTTTTCCACTAGAAAAATTGCAGAAGTAATACAGAGAGTCCTATATACCCCTCCCCCACTCCCCCAACACTAACATTTTATGACCGCAGTACAATTGTTACTGAACTAGGGAATTAAGATGATGCAATACGATTAACTCCAGACCTCAGTTAAATGACATCACTTTCCTACTCTTGTTTTCCTTCTGGCCCAGGATCGACTCCGGATCCCACATTGCACTTAGCTGTCCCGTCTCTTTAGTCCCTCCAGGCTCGGCCACTTCCCCTGTCTTTCTTTTGACTTTCATGACCTTGACACTTGCTGTTTGCTTCTGGAACACAGCAAATGCTTGCGTGATGTGGTTTTTCTTGTCTGATGAGAAACTGGTTAGATTGGTTTCCCAGTCAAGGGGAACCACCTGTTCCGGAAGTCGAATCCATGTTCTGATCTGGAAGGTGCGGAGAGTTGACTTTTGGGGATGGATATTTTGGCTTCACCTTTTCAAAAGCACACCGACGAGCTCAGAATTGCTGCCGTTCTCCAACCTGGCCTGTGCAGGCCTGCCAGCGTAACCAGAATTGATGTGTCTGCCTCCCGGGAACTGTGTTTTGGGGAACTGTAATTGTCAGCCTCCCCTAATTGCTCACGTGGTGTTAACTGTCCCTTTAGGAAGCCCTGGCCTGGCCCTCGCTCCCGGGCTCCGTGGCTCTCAGCATGCCTCCTTTTAAAAGCTCCTCCATCTTTTTCTTGTGAGCATTGATTTTTGAGGCTGGCCCCATTTCAAGCTCTAAATACAAAGCACTTGTTCTGCTGTTAGGGACCGACCTTCCACAGCCCCACCGGACAGAAAAGCAGAGACATCGAGGATGCAATCACACAAGAGGAGGTTTATTTTCTGGCTAGCCAGGGTCCAAGCCCCAGAGCACCAACGCAGTGGCCACTCTCGCAGGCAAGGACCCCGACTGGAACAACGGCATGCCTTTTATCCCCATGGTGCACAAGCTGCGCACAAGCCGACTACGCATGGGTCATGCGTTGACCTTTAAGATGATTGGTTGCCCACTATCGCCTTTTGAAATAATTGGCGGGTTGGTTGCCCTCTATTGCCTGATGGGCCAGTCGCCCGTGCTTCAATGACCTCATCCCATAATTCCCCCTACAGCGGCGTAGCAAGCAAGCAATGACCAGAAGCAAAGGTTTGCGGTTAGCTCAGTGTCCCACCCAAGTAAATTCCCGACAATTGGAAGAATTCCTCTGCCCTTCCTCTGTCCTACAAATTCCTCTGCCCTATACTGCCAAAGGGCCTGTTAAAATCTTTGAGGCCAGATTCCTGTGTTACAGCGCATTATGTTGTGAGTTTATTCAGAGCCGCCTGCTTTTTTAGACAATTTAGAAATTACAGGTACCAAGTATCTAACATTTATTCTTTAGGAAAATTTATTATGCTTGTTTACAACGATCTTCGATGACTTTATTTATTTATTTATTTAAACATGGGGTCTTGCTCTGTTGCCCAGGCTGGAGTACAGTGGAATGATCATAGCTCACTGCAGCCTCCAACTCCTGGGCTCAAGCAATCCTCCTGCCTCAGCCTCCCGAGTAGCCGGGATGACAGGCACACACCACCACACCCATCTCATTATTTAAATCTTTTTTGGTTTTTTTTTGGGGGGGGGGAAGACAGGGTCCCACTATATTGCACAGGCTAGTCTTGAACTCCTGGCCTCAAGTGATCCTCCTGCCTCAGCCTCCCAAAGTTGTGGGATTAAAGGCATGAGCCATTGTGCTGGGGTCCTGATGACTTTAAAATTTTTTATTAAAAAATATGGAACACTTCACAAATTTGGGTGTCATCCTTGCGCGGGGAACAAGCTAATCTTCTCTGCATTGTTCCAATTTTAGTATAGGTGCTGCCGAAGCGAGCACATACTGATGGCTTTAAACTGGGAGACCTTGCCGACAAGACAGATGCTGTCTGCCCCTTTCCAAGGTCCAGATTAAATCCTCGTAGATATTTTTCTCAGGCATTCAGTCCATTTTTCCTTTTTGCCTAGCTTATTCCAAAAGACAAGGACTTCTCTCAGGCCTGAGCCAGTGAAATATTGCAGGTGTCTGACCAGGGTGACTTCCTGTGGGAGGTCTGTAGAGTGAGAGGCAGGAGGAAGCTGGAAGAACACTTCATTTTTTCCAAGAGCCTAACATTTTTATGCATCTGTTGATAATCACAGTCAAATTAAACCCCAAGCCAAGAATCTGTGTGTCCCTGACTTGCTGTGGAATTTGGTCTCTTGTCTTCTGAAGACATGTTGAGCCACCTCGTGGTGACATCTGGTCTGAGATGGGGCCTAGACCCTCAGTTGTCAGCCCAGCTCTGCCCCTGACTGGTGAACCGTGTGCCTTTGAGCAAGTCTTCCCCCTCCCTGAGTCAGCTTCCTTGCCCATAGAATGGAAGTGTCGAAGCCCAGCAGGGATGCTTTCTGACATCCGGGTACAGCCGGCTGTTAGCTGGGCTAGTTCTAGAAGGCTACCTGGGATGAGGATTTTAACCATGTTATGAAGAAGACAGCAACTTCCCACTACTCTGGGTAGTAAAATGAATCAAAATAGTCCCAAGAAGCCCCACTTCCTGTTCCTACACCTTGGGCAAATTCCAAACTTGGTCAGAGGTGGTGCGTGGAGTTCTGGCTTCCATATCCATTGGCTGTGTTTTTTCAGGGCTTTCCCTTTCCCCAGGGCCAAAGATGCTGGACCTGCCACGGTGTGGTCCTACCCCCGACCTGCTGGTTCTAGGCAGGAAGGTGTTCCCTGGGAGAGGTGCCTAGCCCTCATTCTGACCTCACCCTGCACCCTGCGTGCCAGTGCCCCTCTCCTTTGGTGACCCTTGTCATGGCATTGTAAGCCAGTCCATGGTACTGGCTTGCCCTGGGGCAGGCAGGTAGGGGGTGACCAGGGAAGCTGCCTCACCTGTAGGCCTGACCCCTCCATGCCCACTCGCCCTGCCCCCTGCCCTGCCTTGTCTCTTCCAGTTCAGATCACCCTGCCCCCCACCATGCAAGTGACCACCATGGACGGCACCAGGTACATAGCCCAGCAGATGCATTTCCACTGGGGCGGCGCGTCCTCGGAGATGAGCGGCTCGGAGCACACCATCGATGGGGTCAGACATGTGGTCGAGGTACGTGTGGATGCTGATCGGGTCCTCTTTCCTTCAAACTCCGTAGTCACTTTTCTTATTAAAGCAGCCAAAAGACTTTGTGCAATGGTGGCAGTTAAGTCACCCTGAGGTTAAGTTTATTTTTTATTCACTCAACAACTGTGGACTGGTCACGGCTCTGTGCCCTGAGTACAGGCAGGGTCCCTGCCCGCAGAGAACTCTCAGTGTGGGGGCACTCTGCAGCCCGCAGGGGTGGCAAGCCCTCCTTGTTTCAGCTGGATTTGTATGTGTTGGATTTTCTGGGTTCCCTCTTTTGCCCAGATCCGTCCTTAGGGTGACTGCAGGTTTACAGTGGCTTCCTGGGGCAGGGGAGCTCATGCTCATTTCCCCCCAGCCCCCCAGGCACCCCAGGGGAACCCGTGTCCTCACTTGAGTCCTCCAGACTCTGCCAGCCCATTTGCCGGAAGGCAGGTGGGCTCAGGGCAATGCCTTGGAGCTGCCATCCTCCCAGAATCCCACTCCTGCTCTTTCCGTTCCTGGAGAAGTTTCTGGTCTTGACAGATGGAACTCGTACAGAAATGGAGGGGACGGGTCAGAGTTGTTTGTGGGACATTCTCGGGTCTCGGGTGCAGCATCTTTCCTTCTTTTCCTCCTTCCCTGGAAACCTCAGGCACTGGAGGTCTCTGCGAACCGCCCTGGACTCACCCTGCCTTGTTTCCACAGATTCACGTTGTTCACTACAATTCTAAATACAGGAACTACGATATCGCCAAAGATGCCCCGGACGGGTTGGCCGTACTGGCATGCTTCGTTGAGGTGGGTAGGAATTCACATGTGTGTCTGTCTGAAGCTATAGTTTGATGTCCAAACAAGGGCTGAAGTCTAGATGAAGGGTCTTCCTTATTGGCCTTCTTCACCCTTTCCTGCGCTCACAATTCTCGGAAACGCTGACTCAGTGGGCGATCAACCCTTCTTCCAGCCCTGCCCACAGTCCCTGTGCTCCTTCTGTGTCATCAACCTCCGGGACCTTGAGTGACTTGGACAGGCTGACCTAAAAGAGCTGGAGTCACAGAAGGGTTGACTAGACACAAACTAGACTGAAGGGCAAGGGGAAGCCTGCAGTGGAGCCAGACAAAGGCAGCCTCTGCTCTTGTAAGACAGCCGGGAGAGTGGGACTTAGGGAGAGGCGGCTAGACGTAGTCAGGAGCCCAATCCCCAAGAAACAAGCATTAAATTGGATAACATGATAAAAACCATCATTTTGGTGCTCTGGAAATGGACCAAGGACCAACAATAAATTGTGGCATCTGTTAATGAAAAATGGCTAGAATTTTGAGTAAGAACAAAGAGTGTCTATGGACTTTTTTGCCTGGGGCCGTTCCCATCCCTACACCCTAACTTGGTCAATAGGTGGTTTTATCAGGGCAGTCAGCGCTGGTCAGGAAAGCCAGCAGCTTCACTGCCGGGGCAGGGGCCTGACTTGACTTGGGGTGGAATTTGAAAACCTATATACCCAGGAACACTGTATCAAACTTGGCAGAACAGACAGAAAGCACACAGGAAGCACCTGCAGCTCTGGTGGTCTGAGGCTGCAGTCCCAGCTGGTGTGGACGGAGAGGGGCAGACCAGTCGGAATTTAATGAGCAAGATCCTAGAAGTGAGAGACACAGAAGGACTCTGTAACTACCCCGCATGGCCTCAAGGACAGCAAAATCGGAAGCCAATATGAGAACTGGCTGAACGTTGAATGTGCTTCTCAGCCCATATACAGACCCATCATCGGAAGGTGCAAGGGGATTGAGCACAACCTGTGCCCAAATCATTGGGTGACCACAGAGCTATGTCCACCTTAGGTGGCTCCTAGGAATTCAGGCTAAAAAATAAAAATAAGACTTAAAAACTGAGCAGAGAGGGGCTGGGCATGGCGGCTCACACCTGTAATCCTAGCACTCTGGGAGGTGGAGGCGGGCGGATTGCTCAAGGTCAGGAGTTTGAAACCAGCCTGAGCAAGAGTGAGACCCCGTCTCTACTATAAATAGAAAGAAATTAATTGGCCAACTAATATATATAGAAAAAATTAGCCGGGCATGGTGGCGCATGCCTGTAGTCCCAGCTACTTGGGAGGCTGAGGCAGGAGGATCGCTTGAGCCCAGGAGTTTGAGGTTGCTGTGAGCTAGGTTGATGCCACGGCACTCACTCTAGCCTGGGCAACAAAGTGAGACTCTGTCTCAAAAAAAGAAAAACAAAAACTGAGCAGAGAATCAGCTGCTGTGTACTTTTGGGGAGACATATCCTGCAGATTAAGCCCAAGCAAGTTACTAAACAAATACACTAACAAAACCCTTCAGGACAATTTTTAAAAATCAAAATCTAGATTTGGGCAGGGCGTGGTGGCTCACAACTGTAATCCTAGCTCTCTGGGAGGCCAAGGCGGGCGGATCACTCGAGGTCAGGAGTTGGAAACCAACCTGAGCGAAACCCCCTGTCTCTACTAAAAATAGAAAGAAATTAATTGACCAACTAAAAATATATATACAAAAAATTAGCCGGGCATGGTGGTGCATGCCTGTGGTCCCAGCTACTCGGGAGGCTGAGGCAGGAGGATTGCTTGAGCCCAGGAGTTTGAGGTTGCTGTGAGCTAGGCTGACACCGCGGCACTCACTCTAGCCTGGGCAACAAAGTGAGACTCTGTCTCAAAACAACAACAACAACAAAATCTAGATTTGCTGCCAAATATTATGTAAAATGTCCAGTTTTCAACAGTAAATTGGGGCATGCAAAGAAATAGGAAAATGTGATCTATATTTAGGAGGAAAAGAACTATAGAAACTGACCTGAGTGAACTGAGAGTGGTTAGGCAGACAGGACTTAAAAGCAACTATCATAAATATGTTTGAAGGATTAAAGGAAACTATGTTCAAAGAATTAAAGGAAAATATGATGGCAATGACACAAAAAGGGAATCTCAATAGGGAAACAGAGACTACCAAGGTGCACCAAATGGAAAGTCTAGAGTTGAAAAGTACAATGAACATAATGAAAAAAATCAGTACATGGGCCCAGAGCAGATTTGAGAAAGAATCAGCACATGTGAAGATAAAGCAATGAAATTATCCAATTTGAAAAACAATTAGAAAAAAGATTGAAAAGTGAGCAGAGCCTTACAGACTCTGGAGAGCAAACCAAGCCTACCAGTTCGTGTGTAATGAGACACCCAGAAGGAGAGGAGAGGGGGAGAGTGTAAGAAAAAATGTTTGAAGAAACAATAGCTAAATTTCTCAAACTTGATGAAAAGCATTAGTTTACCAATCCAAAAAAATTTCAACATTCCCCCAAGTCTGATAAATGCCTGGACACGTTAAAATCAAACTGTTGAAAGCAACAAGAGAAAAAGGATTTGTTTTACGTAGGGGGATGGCAGTACAGTTAATGGCTGACTTCTCAAGTCATCAGAAGGCAGTGGCATTACTGTCAACCGAGAATTCTGTATCTAACTACCACCCTTCAGGCATTAAGGTGAGATAAAGCCGTTCCCAGACAAACAAGAACCAAGATAATTGCTCGCCAACCTGTCTCACAAGAAGTAGTAAAAAGAAGTCCTTCTGGATGAAAGGAAATGACACCAGACAGTAGCTCAAATCTACAGATGGACATGAAGAGTCGAGAGTGGTGCTTGTGCCTATAATCCCATGTACTCGGGAGGCTCAGGTGGGAGGATCGCTTGAGCCCAGGATTTCGAGGCTGCAGTGAGCTATGATTGTGCCACTGTACTCCAGCCCAGGTGACAGAGTGAGACCCTGTCTCCAAAAACAAAGGAAATGAAGAATGCCAGAAATGGTAAATATGAAAGACTGTATACATATATATTTTTTGTATTTTCTCCTTTTAATTTCTTTTTTTTAAAAAACGCATAAGAGACCACTGTATTTTTTGGTTTATAATATAGATAGACATAATATATATGACAAAAATAGAAGAAAGGGTGGGGAAGAAACAGAGCAATATTGGAGCTAAGTTGCTATATTTTACTTGAATTAAGTTAGTATTAACCTGACATAGATTGTGATTGGCTTAAATCGTATATTGTAATGACTAGAGCGACCGCTAGGAAAATAGCTAAAAATGGCCAAATGGTACACTAAAAGCATTAGCTTAATGCAAAGGAAGTCCATAAAGGCAGGATGAGGAACAAAAAAGACAGGAGACATCTGGAAAGCAAATAACGATGGCAGTCATACTGCCAAGACAGCCTGAAACCATGCACAGTGGAAGAGAAATTGGGTCAATACCACTTGACTGAAAAGATCCATTGAAAATAGACCTTTTCCACCAACAGCAACTCTTCTGGCTTTTAAAATGCAGCACGCATCTAGAAAGCGTGATCGGATCTGGGGCTGCTCCGGCTTGACCGGCTGGCTCTCAGGAGCCCTGAGGCCGAGGCGGGGAGCCCCTGAGACCCGGCCTCCCTCATGGCAAAGAGCCCGACTGCGCGTGACCCTGCCCGGAACAAGTGCACGGGGGTGGGCGTATTTTTAGCAGAGACTTTTGGCCATTCCTGGGGGTGCCACCAGTCATCGAAAAGCTCCTTTCCCTGAAAGTTGCCAAAATGCTTCGGACGGTTCCTCCCTGGAGGAGACGGATGAGCCCGGGAAGCTGTTGGCGAAGAATAGCCAGGTTGAGCCCCCGATCACAACCGGGGGTGGGCTGTCTCCTTACCCGCGGCTCCGCCCGGTCAGCGAGGCCCCGGCGGCCGGTTAGCGGAGCCGGTGCGGGGTGGGGGGCGCGGGGTGGGCGCGGGCTCTTCTCCGCCACGCTAACTGCTGGGTGTTTTCCCCACAGGTGAATGATTACGCCGAAAACACTTACTACAGCAACTTCATTTCTCATCTGGCCAACATCAAGTACGCGGGTAAGGGAAGAGGAACGAGTGCGAGGTGGGGCGGGGGCACAGGGAGGGTGATGTAGGGGGCAGGGTGGCCGCTGGGCCCTGCCAAGGGAGCCCACCCTTCCCCTCGTGATGTCACCTGCTGCTGGCTCAGGCAGCCGACACCTCTGAGCCACCTTGTTGACAGACGCTACTTGTCGACCCCCGTGATGGGAACTTCCGGGTGGCCGCAGTTCCACTCAGGAGGGACAGCCTCACTTCAGTGACGCTGGCCTCTGACCCCGGCTAGGCAGGGACGGTCCTGGTCCCTAGGGAGAGGTCCACCCTGGCTCCAAGCTGAGATGAGTGTCAAAAGGGAAGCCCCCGCCCGTCCCACCTGGACCCATAGGCGTGGTGGTCTTCTCCACCGTCCGCCTCCAGAAGGCAGAGTTCACGTCAGAGCAGTTGTCCACCGCCACGGTCGGCCCCTGACCCTGAGCTAGAACCGGGCTGGCTGTGAAGCCTCAACTTTGTCCGTCCACACTCTGACCACACCTCCAGCCTCCCAGGCCCTGGCTTCAACACCGCCCCCTCCAGCAATCCGCCTGAGCCCAGTCCTCCAGTCCACCGGCCTCCGCGTTCTCGCTGGGGGTCAGGCCTCACGTCCTCTCATCTCTCTTTCCTAGTGTAGGTTCCACGGGCCAGCCCACGCGAGCACCCTCAGTGCCCTCGCCCCCCTCCCCCGCCCTCCCCAGGCTCACCCGGAAAAGCCACGCAGCTGAATGTGGTTTGATGGAAACCCGTAGACAACTCACTGGGATTGTCTTTACTCATGGCTACGAATAGGAACGGTCATTACACTGCCCAGAAATCCCAAAGTACCACTCTGGGCGTTTCCTTTCTCATCTCCTCTCTGTTCTCTCCGGGCACCCCCCCCATGCCCTGGCCCCAGCCCCTCCCCTGGAGCTGACACCCTCACTTGCTGCTTCTCTGAGAAGGCAGGAAGACCAGCCAGAAATGCACCCTTCTTTGTAACCCACCTGTACCTGGACCAAACTCCACGCCCCGTCTTCTGTTACAGGAACAAAACATCCCTGCTCTTGTCAAGACCACCCCTCCCATGCGAGCACTGTCCCCAGCCCTCTCCCGCTGCTAGACATTATGGTCTTGGTTGAACAAGCCTATTTACACATATATCAAAACTCTCTTTGCCTTTAAGATGTGCAGAACTGCTGGGCATGGGCTCACAGCTAAAATCCCAGCACTTTGGGACGCTGAGGCAGGAGGGTTGTCTGAGCCCAGGAATTCAAAGACCAGCTTGGGCAGCATAGTGAGAACCCCCATCCTTACAAAAAATTAAAAAGAAAGTTAGCTGGGCATGGTGGCGTACACCTGCGGTCCCAGGTACTCAGGAGGCTGAGGCGGGAGGATGGCTTGAGCCCAGGAGTTTGAGGTTGCGGTGAGCTATGATTGTGCCACTGCGCTCTAGCCTGGGTGACAGAGCGCCTGTCCCTAAAAAAAAGAGAGAGAGAGAGAGAAAAGAAAAGAAAAAAAAAGGGCAAAAGTGCTCAGGAAAATTGAGAGAAAATCTAATTCCGGGTTGCTTTGGTAGTTTCACGCTGGGCTCAGGGGCTCAGTGTTACCCGCAAACCTCTAGGGGTCATTCATTTCATTCGTGATAAAATCTATCCTCTGCCTAACAATGAGGATGATGATGGCGGTGACTCTACGGCCACTTCCCTGTGGCCTGGTCCAATGTGCTAGCCGCTTTATAAACATCGTTCCCCTTTCCCCTCACGGCAAGGCACTCGTGTTGGTTGTTCCCTTTTTATAGATGAAACGGCCTCAGAGTGAGCACCCAGCCAAGGCCACTCAGCCGGGAGGAGGTATCGAGGTGGCCGTCCCCAGAGTCTCTCCTCTTAACCCCTTCCAGGAAGGGGCGCCCTGGGGAGCTGGCTCCCAATCGAGATAAATGCTTGATATGTATAAAGAAGTAAGAAGTTTAAATATGAGGAAAGAAGAAAAAAGTGTAAGAATGGACAACCATACTTGGAAAAAGAAACTCAAATGGAATTTGGAAAATAGTGGAAAGATATAGTAGTAACTGGAATTAACAATCCAACGAATAAGCTCAAAAACATGTTAGATGTAGTTCAAGAGAGAATTAGTTCCTACACTGCTGGTGGGACTGCAAATTAGTTCAACCTCTGTGGAAAGCAATATGGAGATACCTTAAAGCAATACAGTGAATCTACCATTTGATCCAGCAATCCATTGCTGGTCATCTACCAAAGATCCAAATGACACTCTACAAAAAAGACACCTGCACTCGAATGTTTATAGCAGCACAATTCATGATTGCAAGGCTGTGGAAACAGCCCAAGTGCCCATCAATCCAAGAATGGATTAATAAAATGTGGTATATGTATACCATGGAGTACTATTCAGCTCTAAGAAACAATGGTGATATAGCACATCTTATATTTTCCTGGTTAGAGCTGGAACCCATACTATTAAGTGAAGTTTCCCAAGAATGGAAAAACAATGCACCACATATACTCACCAGCAAATTGGTATTATCTGAACAGCACCTAAGTGGTCACATAGGTACTGCAGTAATAGGGTATTGGCAGGGGGAGGGGGGGGGGGGGGTATAATACATATATAATGAGTGAGATGTGCACCCTCTGGGGATGGTCATGCTGGAGACTCAGACTTGTGGGGGGAGGGGGGAAATGGGCATTTATTGAAACCTTAAAATCTGTATCCCCATAATATGCCGAAATAAAAAAAAAAAGAGAGAATTAGTAAAATGGAAGACAGAGCAGAGAAAATTATCTAGAAGGCAACACAAGGAGAAAAAGAGATGGAAATATGAAAAAGAAGTAAAAGGACACAGAGAGTATAGTGGAAATGTCTAACAAATATCTAATTGAAGTCTTAGAAGGAGAAGAGAGGCACAATAGGGAGAAGGCATGATTTGACAAAATATTGACTGATAATTTTCAGGAAGAGTTGAAAGATATTGAGCCATATATTCAAGACTCCCAATGAGTCAGTCTCTCCCTCTCCCTCCCCCTCTCTCTGCCTCTCTGTCTCCTTTTCCCTCTGTGTGTATGTGTGTTTGTGTGTGTGTGTGTGTATA